TATGTATATATATATTCTTTTTCATATTCTTTTCCACTATAGGTTATTATAAGCCATTGAACGTAGTTTCCTGTGCTGTATAATAGGTCTTTGCTGTTTATTTTATATGCGGTGGTGTGCATCAGCTAATCCCAAAGTCCTCGTTGATCCCTCCCCAACACCCTTTTCACTTTGGCAACCAGAGATTTGTTTTCTATGTCTGTGAGTCTATTTCTGTCTTGTAAATAAGTTGTCTGTATCATATTTTTAAAGACTCCACATATAAGCCATGTCATATGATATTTGTCTTTCTCTGATTTACTTCACTTAGTATGACAATCTCTGTTGCTGTAGATGGCATTATTTCATTCTTGTTTATGGCTGAGTGATATTGCATGGTATATATGTACCACATCTTCATCCATTCATCTGTGGATGGACAAGGGTTGCTTCCATGTCTTGGCTATTATAAATAGTGCTGCCATGAACATTGGTATCCACCCTTTGTTACCTGGCAAGGTGAGAAGAATTCATGAGGAGTTCCTTCCTCCTACCTGATGAAGGTAAATTCTCAGGAAGAGGCTGGGTTTTCCTCTTTACATCTCCACTCCCACTTCCACAACTCACAACCGTGATCATTGGTGTCCAGAGAAACAGGGAGCCTGGTTTGAGACAATGGGGCACAGCCAGTTCTCAAAGGATCTACTGACTTCTCTTTTCTTGCAGGTGAACGGCCACGGCGGTCACCGTCGAATCTTGGTAAGAGACTCCCCCGTCTTGAAGGCAGTTAGACCTTGGGCAAGTGCCTCCCTCTCTTGGTTTTATCACCTGATTACTAGGTATAGTGTGATGCTTGTGTGCTAAATAGCTTCAGTCATGTCCGACTATTTGAGCCCACCAGGCTCTTCTGTCCATGGGATTCTCCAGGCAAGAATACTGGAGTGGGTTGCCCTCCTCCAGGAGATCTTCCCCACCCAGGGATTCAACCTGCATCTCTTACCTCTCTTGCATTGGCAGATGGGTTCTTTACCACTAGTTCCACCAAAGTGAGGATTCAACTCCATGTGGAGTTGTCACGAGATGGGCTGTGGAACCGCCCTTCCTGGGTTTGAATCTTGGTTCTAGGGCTCATGACTCACAACTGTCACGGCAGCCCGAGCGCATGTTGGAAAAGAATTTCCAGACACGAGCATTTCAGAAGGGAGTATGTTTATTAAGGGCAAGGAGCAGAGATAATAAAAGTGAAAGTGAAAGTCGCTCAGTCTGACTCTTTGTGACCACCTGGACTGTAGCCCACCAGTCTTCTCTGTCCATGGGATTCTCCAGGCAAGGATACTGGAGTGAGTAGCCATGCTCTCCTCCACGGGATCTTTCCAAACCAGGGATCAAACCCAGGTCTCCTGCATTAGCAGGCAGTTTCTTTACCATCTGAGCCACCTGGGAAGCCCGCATATAAATATGTGCAAAGATTTATTGTAAGGAATTGGCTCACATGATTCTGGCAAGATCTGCAGACCAGAGAAAATTTGGAGCACTGAGCAGAGGTGAACGTGGCTAGCGGGACCAGGTCGAAGGTGAGCCAGGAAGGCTGACAGGTGCCCGGTCACACAGGACTGACGGTGTTGCTACTCCGGTTTGGGATGGGTTTGAGTTATGAGAGGCAGAGCTGGAGGAAAGTAATAGGAAACTCAGAGCTGAGAGATCACAAGTGGTAATACACCGGAAATCTGCAAAAAGAAGTTTTGCCTCTGCAGATGAAAGAGGAAGCTGGAAATGAGAAGAAAGATAGAATCTGAGGCATTATGCAGGGAAGGGAAACAAACAAAGCAGGTTGTAGGTGACAGAGTCTGGCTCTCAAGACCTTAGTAATGAAGAGCCATAATTTTCATAGTTTTTAAAAGGAATTAATTTTCAATTGGCGTATAATTGCTTTACAATGGTGGTTTCTGCTGTACAGTGAAGTGAATCAGCCGTAAGTACACATGTATCCCCTCCCTCTTGGGGCCCCCTGGCCCCACCCCACCCATCTAGGACATCACAAAGCACTGAGCTGGGCGCCCTGTCCTAACAGCAGTTTCCCACTGGCTGTCTATTCTACACGTGATAACATATATATGTCAGTGCTACTGTCTCAGTTTGCGCCCCCCTCTCCTCCCCCTGCTGCGTCCACAAGCCTGTTCTCTATGTCTGCCTCTCTATTCCTGCCCTGTGCATAGGTTCATCAGCACCATTTTTTCTAGATTCCATACATGTGCTTTAATATATGATATTGTTTTTCCTCTTTCTGACTTCTTCACTCTGTAAAACAGGCTTAGGTTTCATCCACTTTACTACAACAGACTCAAATTTATTCCTTTTTATGGCTGAATTGTATTCCATCATATAAATGTACCACAACTTCTTTATCCATTCATCTGTCAATGGGACATCCAGGTTGCTTCCATGTCCTGGCTATAGAAAATAGTGCTGCAATAAACATTGATATACATGTATCTTTTTGAATTATGGTTTTCTCAGGGTATGTGCTCAGTAGTGGGATTTCTGGGTCATATGGTAGTTTTATTCCTAGTTTCTTCAGACTATACTACAAAGCTCCAGTCATCAAGATAGTATTGTACTGGCACAAAGACAGAAATACAGATCAGTGGAACAGAGTAGAAAACCCAGAGATAAATCCACACACCTATGGATACCTTATCTTTGACAAAAGAGGCAAAAATATACAATGGAGAAAAGACAATTTCTTTCACAAGTAGTGCTGGGAAAACTGGCCAACCACCTGTAGAAGAATGAAACTAGAACACTTTCTAACACCATACACAAAATAAACTCAAATGGGTTAAAGATCTAAATGTAAGACTAGAAACTATAAAACTCCTAGAGGAGAACATAGGCAAAACACTATCCTACATAAATCACAGCAGGATCCTCTTTGACCCACCTCCCAGAGTAATGGAAATAAAAGCAAAAATAAACAAATGGGACCTAATTAAACTTAAAAGCTTTTGCACAGTGAAGGAAACTTTAAGCAAGGTGAAAAGACAGCCTTTAGAATGGGAAAAAATAGCAAACCAAAGCAACTGACAAAGAATTAATCTAAAAAATATAAAAACAGCTTATGCAGCTCAATACCAGAAAAATAAATGACCCAATCAAAAAATGGGCCAAAGAACTAAACAGACATTTCTCCAAAGAAGACATACAGATGGCTAACAAACACATGAAAATATGCTCAGCATCACTCATTATCAGAGAAACACAAATCAAAACCACAGTGAGGTACCATTTCACACTGGTCAGAATGGCTGCTATCAAAAACTCTACAAACAATAAATGCTGGAGAGGGTGTGGAGAAAAGGGAAGCCTCTTACACTGTTGGTGGAATGCAAACTAGTACAGCCGCTATGGTGAACAGTGTGGAGATTTCTTAAAAAACTGCAAATAGAACTGCCATACAACCCAGCAATCCCACTGCTGGGCATACACACTGAGGAAACCAGAATTGAAAGAGACAGTGTTCATCACAGCACTGTTTACAACAGCTGGGACAGGGAAGCAATCTAGATGTCCATTGGCAGATGAATGGATAAGGAAGTTGTGGTACATATACACAATGGAATGTTACTCAGCCATTAAAAAAAATGCATTTGAATCAGTTCTGATGAGGTGGATGAAACTGGAGCCTATTATATAGAGTGAAGTAAGTCGGAAAGAAAAACACCAATACAGCGTATTAACACATATATATGGAATTTAGAAAGATGGTAATGATAAACCTATATGTGAGACAGCAAAAGAGACATAGAGATAAAGAGCAGACTTTTGGACTCTGTGGGAGAAGGCGAGGGTGGGATGGTTTGAAAGAATAGCATTGAAACATGTATATTACCATATGTGAAATAGATCCCCAGTCCAACTTCAATGCATGAAACAGGGCGCTCAAAGTTGGTGCCCTGGGACGACCCAGAGCGATGGAATGGGGAGGGGGGTGGGAGCGGGGTTCAGGATGGGGGACACATGTACACCTGTGGCTGATTCATATCAATGTATGGCAAAAACCAACACAATATTGTAAAGTAATTAGCCTCCAATTAAAATAAATACATTAATTTAAAAAAATCTCCATTCTGTTCTCTGTGTGTATGTTTGTTAGTCACTCAGTCGTGTCTGACTCTTTGTGACCCCGTGGACTGTAGCCCGCCAGGCACCTCTGTCCACGGGATTCTCCAGGCAAGAATACTGGAGTGGGTGGCCATTCCCCTCTTCAGGGGATTTTTCCAAGCCAGGGATCAAACCCAGGTCTCCTGCATTGAGGGCAGATTCTCTACCATCGGAGCCGCCAGGGGAGCCCACTGTTCTCCACAGGGCTTCAGTTTTGACTCATCCTCTTGTTGAGAGCTCTGCTGCTCACTGTGCGGTCCAAGGACCAGCACTGTCAGCATCATTCAGGGACTTGTTCGAAATACAGGATCTCAGGTCCCTCCTGAGACCTGAATCAGCATCTGATTTCCCCAAGATCTCCTGGGGAATCCCAGGTGAGGCAGATGCTACTGGCTGTGGACCCCACTTGGAGTAGCGAGTACCCAGGACAATGGTTCTCATGCTTTTATGGTGCACAGGTCACCTGCGGCTCTTGCTAAAAGGCAGATTCAGATTTAGTAGCAAGGGGCGGGGCAGGGCCTGAGACTCTGGGCATCTCCATCAGACTCCCAGGCTATGGGGAAGCTGCTGGTCCATGGATCACACTAGGAGCACAAGGGTCTGGGGCTTACCAGGTCCTTCACTGAGCGTGCTTGGTGACTATTAGTTTTCGAAGGCTGCCAAAAGGACCATAAACCAAGTGGCTTAAAGCAACAGAAATTTATCCTTTCATAGTTCTGGAGGCCAGAAGTCCAAAATCAAGGTGCTTTCTCTGAGGGATGTAGGCGAGAATCAGGTCCAGTCTCTCCTGGCTTCTGGTGTTGCTGGGTCATTGTTGGTGGTCCTTAGCTTGTAGATGCATCCTTCTGATCTCTGCCTCCATCATCATGTGTTGTTCTCCACCTCTGCCTCATCTCTCGTTCTTAGAAGGATGCCAATCATACCAGATTAAAGGGCCATCCTGCTCCAATATGGGGGCTTCTCAGTTGGCACTGGGAAAGTAGTAAAGAACTCACCTGCCAATTCAGGAGATGTAAAAGTCGGGAAGATCCCCTGGAGAAGGAAATAGCTACCCACTCCAGTATTCTTGCCTGGAGAATCCCATGGGCAGAGGAACCTTGTGAGCTACAGTCCACGGAGCTGCAAAGAGTCAGACACAACTGAGCAACTGAACACATATGCTGCTCCAGTATAACCCCATCTTAATTTATATCTTACTTACATCTGCAAAGAATCTATTTCCAAATAAGGTCACATTCTCAGAGACCTGGGTTTAGGACCTCATCATACCTTTATAGGAGACACAGTTCTACCCATACTAGTCACCTTCCTCCTCTCCCTCGAAGCACCACTCGGGGCTCTAACCCAAATTTCTTCTCCATTGCCTAGATGTGAAGGGGTGTACAGATACCACCATGTGTCCAGCGCATGCAACCTGCACCAACACTTCAACAAGTTACTACTGTGCTTGCAAAAGAGGCTTCTTGTCCAGCAACGGATTGAAGACATTCAAGGACCCAGGAGTGGAATGCAAAGGTGAGTTCATGCCCCATCAAACCCCGCCCCCCCCCACCCCCAGCATTTGGTAGTAAAATTAGATAGAAGCTGGCTGGGCAGCAGATGTAGGTAGGTATCCCCAAGCATTGTTTTCTTTCTTTCTTCCTTCCTTCCTCTGCCTCTCCCTCCTCCTTCCTTCCCCCATCTCTTTCTTTCTTAATTTCTTTCTAATATAAGAATAATTCCTGTTCACTAAAAACTCTAATGAATTGAGTCAGAATAAAAAAAGAGGAACTTCCTGGTGGCCCAGCTAAGATGCCATGCTCCCAATGTAGGGGACCTGGGGTTTGATCCCTGGTCAGAGAACTTGATCCCACATGTTGCAACTAAATATCCTGCATGCTGCAACTAAGACCTGGTACAGGCAAAAAAATTCTCATAAAAACAAAAAGCAATTTATCCTATATGTCAATATCCAGAAATAAACACTGATTTTCTTCCTGTCACCTCTTCATGCAAATAATTTCTAATATGTATTGAGTACCAAGCCCTGTGTGAAGGTCTTTATGTTCATTTACACATAGCATAGGCACTGTGATGATCTCCATTGTACAGATGAGAAGACTGAGGCTTGGGGAGCTAAAATTACTTGTTTATGGTCATTGAACAATTGAACTGGAATTCAAATTCAGGTTTTTTTTAGTCTAATGGCAGTCTCTCAATCACTTACCTATTTGTCACACTTCAGATGTGAGGCATTGGGGAAATGTATTTAATCTCTCTACGCTTCAATCTTTCCATCTGTAAAATGGGTATAGAGTACCTACCTTAAAGGATATTTGAGAAGATTAAATGCAGTAATGTATGCAGTGTGCTAGGCATATGTACAGTCCCAAGAGCTACTATTAATATAAATAATAGAAACTAAAATAATTTCTAGAATGAGCTAAGTTTTTGGTCTATATTCCATATATTTAGACCCAAACTCTGCTCTTGAAAATAAAGGTCTGACTGTGCCTCTGACATAATTTGCAAGGGTCTGCAATCTATTTCTATAAGGGGCCAGATAGTAAATATTTTGGAGACTGCTGTTTGTATGATCTCTGTCTTAAGTGCTCAATACTCCAGCTGTAGTACAAAAGCAGCCGGCAACGATACCTAAATGAATGAGTGGAGCTGTGTTCTAATAAAACTTTATTTACACAAATAGGTGACAGTCCAGATTTGATTCATGGGCTATAGTTTATTGAACTGTGAACAAGATTTCCATTTAATAATTTATTTCCATTATTATAGTTTCCAGGGAGCTCCAAACATCATTTTCTTAAAAAAATTATTTATTGAAGTATAGTTGATTTACAATATTATGTTAGTTTCAGGTATTCAGCAGAGTGATATATATATATAGATGTGTATGTGTGTGTGTGTGTGTGTGTGTATATATATATGTATGTGTGTATATATATATGTATGTGTGTATATATATATATATATATATTCTTTTCCACTATGGTTTATTATAGGATATTGAATGTCATTCCCTGTGTTATTTAGTAGGACCTTGTTTATCCATCCTATATGCAATACTTTGCTTCTGCTAATCCTAAACTCCCAATCTACCCACCCCCACCCTTGGCAACCACAAGTCTGTTCTGTATATCTGTGAGTCTATTTCTATTTTGTAAATAAATTCATTTGTGTCATATTTTAGATTCCACATATAAGTGATGTCATATGGTATCTGTCTTTTTCTGTCTGACTTACTTCACATGGTATAATAATCTCTAGGTTCATCCATGTTGCTACAAATGGTATTATTTATTCTTTTTATGGCTGAGTAATATTCCATTGTATATATGTACCACACTTTCTTTATCCATTCCTTTGTCAATGAAAATTTAGGTTAGTTCCATGTCTTGGCTATTGTAAATACTGCTGCTGTGACTATTGGGGTATATGTATCTTTTTGAATTATAGTTTTGTCCTGGTATATGCCCAGGAATGGAATTGCTGGATCATAAGCAATTCTGTTCTTAGTTTTTTGAGGAACTGCCATACTGTTCTCCGTAGTGGCTGCACCGATCTACATTCCCACCAACAGTGTGTAAGTGTCCCCTTTCTCCACACTCTCTCCAGCATTTATTATTTGTAGAATTTGTAATGATGGGCATTCTGACCAGTGTGAGGTGGTACCTCATTGTAGTTTTGGTTTGCATGTCTCAAATAATTAGCAATGTTGGGTATTTTTCCATGTGTCTATTGGCCATATGCACAAACATTTGAAAACAAATCTTTGAGCTACAGTTTATGGGTTATTCAGTAAACATAGTAGCCTTGTTGGGCTCTTGTTTTTAGATTAAGGATGGAAGCAACATTTCCCATCTAGAAAATGGTGGATACTACATAAGAATCTTATCTACTCTATGTCTTTGATCTGTGGTACCTAATACATTGTGACTATTTTATAGTTCCTTGTCAAATGAAGGAATGTGCTACCTTATTCCTTATGTCAGCTCTAGACTTACTCACCCTGCAGTTGATGGACAATTAGGCGCTTCTAATGTTTCATTACTTAAGGCCTGAATAAACATTACTAATTGCATGACAAGTGCATAGAAAGTGTTTATTTAGGTTGATTTGGCAGAGCAGGGCTGAAGGAAATTAGGGGAGGACCAGCCTTCAGATGGTAAAGAATCTGCAATGCAGGAGACCTGAGTTCAATCCCTGGGTCAGGAAGATCCCCTGGAGAAGAGAACAGCTACCCACCCCAGTAGAAGTGCCTGGAGAATTCCATGGAGAGAGGAGTCTGGCAGGCTCCAGGGGGTTGCAAAGAGTCGGACATGTCTGAATGACTTTCACTTTCCCTTTTTTTCTTTTCACCCCATGGTACCATGACTGCATAATTCTATTGGCACTTCAATGAGTAAATCTGTATAATGGGTTTGCAAAATGTTCTGGTTTATTTCTGGGTAGCAGCAAACTTTGTGCATTAAAACACCAATGATCATTTATTTTGCTCCCGAATGAATCTTCTATTGGGCTGAGTTCGCTGACAATGGCTTGACTTTGTTCCACACAGTGTCAGTGGAGTTGGCTCAACTGGGAGCTAGAGGATTCATTTTGAAGGAGGCTCACCCACAAGGCTGGCAAGCTAGTGATGGCTGTTCTCTGGTTGCTCTGCCAGGGCTGTGGGCTGGAGGTCTTAGCTCTTCTCCATGAAACCTATTTTTTCATGGCTTATTGAGCTTCCTCACACTATGGCAATTGAGTCAAGCATGAGCATCTCAAGAGAAGGTGTGGAAGTGTGTGATATTTTGATGACTTATCGTGGTATTTTAATGACTTAATGTCACCACCAACATAGTCACAAGTATGCTCAGATTCAAGTAGAGGAAATATAGACCCCACTGCTTGATAAAAGAAGTACCAAAAAAAGGGCATTAAATTAAGGGTATATGAAATAGAAGGCATTGCTTCAACCATCTTTGGAAAATACAAACTTTATTTGAAGAAAATTTGTAACTCTGACTCTTTTTCTCTCCAGATATAGATGAATGCTCTCAGAGGCCCACACCATGTGGCCCTAACTCAATCTGCAGAAACCTGCCTGGGAGATACAGGTGCAGCTGTAGGACTGGTTTCTCTTCTCCCACTGGAAATAACTGGATGCCAGGAAAGCGAGGTCGTTTCACCTGTAAAGGTAAAGGGCTCAGACTCTCTGGCATGGGTTTTTGGTGGACAGTTCCTATTGTTAGGAACATGTGCTTCTAACTTTAGACAACTAATTTTTTGTCTGCTCACTCTCCTCCACTGCTCCTCAGACATTAATGAATGCCTCTCTGGTCGGATCTACCCAGGGAAAAGTCTCGGTATTTGGGAGCATCAGGTGGCAAACAAGTGGAGTGAATCTCCTGTTGTCAGTCTCCTGTCCTCAGTCGTTCCCCTGCCTTGATCGGGGTTTTCATTTCTACTTAACAGATGTGGATGAATGTGCCAGTCCCAGAAGTTGCCCAGAGCATTCGACTTGCCATAACAGTCTTGGAAGCTACTCTTGCGTCTGCAACCCAGGATATGTATCCAGAAGTGGAAAGAAGAGTTTCCAGGGACCAGGGGAGACATGTCAAGGTAGGTGCAGGGGTCTTCTGGGAATCATGTCCAATCTGTTTGGAAAGACAGCAGTGCTGGAGGAAGAGTTCGAAGTTGAGGTAGGTCTCAGCTGAGTTCAAAGTCTTGTCTGCAGAACTGAAGCCGATAGGCATTCATCCATTCATGCATTCACTCAACAAACACTTCTTGAGCACCTACTATATAGAAAAGCACTGTTCGAGGGATGGAGGATACTGCAGTGAGTAACACAGGCAAAAATGTTTGTTCTCCTGAAACTTCTTGTTGAGGGCGGGGAGAAACAGATAATAAGCAACACACGTGAATGCATCTGCTATTCGGGCTGACTTTGGTGAGGATGACTTGTCTCAGTTGAGCTGGTTCAACTGGGGGCTAGAAGATCCACTTTAAAGGGGGCTCACTCACAAGGAGAAGCTGGTGCTGAATGAAGCTGTGGGCTGGAGGACTTAGTTCTTCCCCACACGGGCTGTTTTATCACGACTCTTTGAGCTCCCTCACAGTAAGGTGGCTGAGTCAAACATGAGCATTCCAAAAGAGCAAGGTGAAAGTGTGTGAGATTTTTATGACTGAGCACAGTCATTTTTTACCGAGTGTCACTACTGCCTAATCACAAACATGCTCAGATTCCAGAGGAGGGAATATAGACCCTGCTTGCTTGAAGAAGCACCCAAGAAAAGACATTGGATTAAGGGCATATGGAATAGAAGACATTGTTTCAACCATCTTTGGAAGATCCCAGCTGTATTTGAAGAAAACCTGTAGCTTTGACTCTCTTTCTCCCCAGATATAGATGAATGTTCTCAAAAGCCCCCACCTTGTGGTCCTAACTCAGTCTGCAGAAACCTGCCAGGAAAGTATGAGTGCAGCTGTTTGACTGGTTTCTCCTCTCCCACTGGAAATAACTGGATCCCTGGAAAGCCGGGTCATTTCAGCTGTGCAGGTAATGAGCTCAGACTCTCAGGCGTTTGTAGACTACTCGTATTGAGTTGCGTACATGGTGTGCTAAACTTAGACACCTAATCTTTGGTCTGCTCACTCTCCTCCACTGCTCCTCAGACATTAATGAATGCCTCTCCCGTGGGGTCTGCCCTGAGCATTCTGAGTGCACCAACTCTTTGGGAAGCTACCGTTGCAGCTGCAAAGTTGGATTCACCTCTAAAAACTCCAGCTGTGAAGGTACAGAGAACCGGATCCTGTCTAGCTACTCAAAGAATTAAGAACTTTATGTGATGATCCTATGAGCTAGAGATATTGATCTTCATTTGAGGAATGATCCAAATAAGGCCCAGAAAGGTAGTGACTAGCTCAAGGATACACAGCTAGGAAGTAGAAAAACATGGATTGGAACCCTTGTTGAGGGCGTGCAATGAGTGAAGCTGTGGGCCAAGCAGTATTTGAGAGTACTGGAGGATTCAGTCCCTAGCCTGATTTATGCCCTGCTTGGGGCGGTGATGATATTTACAATGTCTGGAGACATTTTGGTCCAATCTGGTGGTGGTGGTTTGTTGGTTTCTGTAACAGTGAACTGGTGGGTAGAGACCAGAAATCCTGCTAAACATCCTCCAATGCACAGAATAACCTGCCCACAACAAGAAGGCTCGACCCCAAATGTAAATAGTGCTGAGATAGAGAAACTCTTTCCCAGGGAGATCTCAGACCCAAATGTTTGAACTTTGCCCTACAAGGCATAAGACCTGAGAGTGATTCTTGATCCTAGCCCCCTTTCCATATTAAATGATTCATCATGTCATTGGGCAATCTCCCTGCTAAATGTGTCTTGAGTCTCTCCACTCCTTTCCATCCTTGTTTTAGGTTTCAACATTATTGCAGCAGTCTTCTCACTGTTTCTAATGGTGCTCCCTGAAATCTATCACTTATACTGCAGAGTATGTATGTAACACTCTCAACAAGAGATACGGGCTCCATTTTCCCGAGTCTGCACAACACTATTATTTATTTATAGTGAGGATGGCTCCATCAAGGAAGGCATGGAGTGACCCTCTTGGATACGTCATCTTAAAGTTAGAGATATTTGAAGTCATCTCTGACGTTTCTGACCTATTTGTAACAATTAGCTACAGCTGAGTAAAAAATCACCCCAAAAGTTAGTGGCTAAAACAACCGCAATTGTTTATCTCTTGGTTCCATGTGTTGGCACCTTAGGTTCCACTCTGCTGCTCAGTTCTTCTGATCTCCACTGCGCTTGGTCATGTGTTTGTGGTCAGCTCTGTGTCAGCTTTGCCAATCTTGGTTGGGCTGTCTTTCATATCTGGGACTCATCTGGGATGATCCATCTCTCTTTCACTTTGTATTTTTCTTATTAGCCTGGGGTTTGATCAAATGGCAGAGGCAAGGCGCCCAGTGTATGAGCAGAGACAAATAGGTTTCTTGAGGTCTAAGGTTGGAAGTGGCGCCACATTGCCTCTGCCATTTTAATTGGACAGTGCACGTCATAGACCAGGTAGTGTCAAGGGCTGCTGACCCAAAGTCCACATCTTCAAGAGAGGAGGGTAAGGTCACCTTGTGTAGCACAAACCTCATCCCAAGGTGCGGACACAGGGAGGAGGAAAGGATGACAACCATTTCTGTAATCTATACTCATTACAGTTTGAAAGGAATGCCAGCCTTTTGCTTGCATACAATCAGCCAGAATTCATTCTCATTTTATGCCTAAGTGCAAGGGAACTTAGAAAGAGTGAGAAAGTCTGGATATTGTGTGGGCATCTGGTGGAGAAAGGTGGGGTGAATTTCCTGTTTGCAGTGTTCTGTTCCCACTGCTTCTTCGACCTTGACCTGGGCTTTTATTTCTACTCACCAGATGTGGATGAATGTGCCAAGTCCAGAAGCTGCCCAGAGCATTCGACTTGCCGTAACAGTCTTGGAAGCTACTCTTGTGTCTGCAACCCAGGCTATCAATGCAGAAGTGGAAGGAAAATTTTTCAGGGGCCAGGAGAGATGTGTGAAGGTATTATCAGGGTCTTCTGGGGAATCACGTCCAATGTGTTTGAAAAGACAGATGTGATGGGGAGGAGGTGGTGTGGATCTCTCTTGAGCTCAAAGCCCTCATATGCAAAGTTGTAGCTGATAGCAATTGATCCATTCATGCATTCATTCAACAAACACTTCTTGAGCGTCTACTCTATGAGAAGCATTATTCTAGGGATGGAGCATACAGTGATAACACAGAAATATATATATATATTCTACTGGAGCTTCTTATCAATGGTGAGAGAATCAGACAACCAACAAAATGCAGTTATGTATTTGGGCTATCGGCTCTTTGGGCTGAGTTTGCTGATGGTGGCTTGACATTCTCCCATGCTGTAGCTGTTGTGTTGGCTCAGCTGAGGACTAGAATATCTAATTTGAAAGGGACTCACTCACAAGGTGAAGACAGTGCTGGCTGTTGGCTGGAAGCTCTGCCAGAGTTGTAAACTGGAGGTCTAAGTTCTTCCCCTTGACAGCTGTTTGTTTTTTTTTTTTTTTCACGGCTAGTTGAGCTTCCTCACAGTATGGTAGCCGAGTCCAGCATGGGCATCTGAAGAGAGCTAGGTGGAAGTGTGTGATATTTTGATGACTTAGCATGGTATTTTTACGACCCAGTGTCACNTTGAGTTGAGTACATGGTGTGCTAAACTTAGACACCTAATCTTTGGTCTGCTCACTCTCCTCCACTGCTCCTCAGACATTAATGAATGCCTCTCCCGTGGGGTCTGCCCTGAGCATTCTGAGTGCACCAACTCTTTGGGAAGCTACCGTTGCAGCTGCAAAGTTGGATTCACCTCTAAAAACTCCAGCTGTGAAGGTATAGAGAACTTGATCTTCTTTTTTAGCTACTCGGTTTATTAAGAACTTTGTCTGATGTTCCTATGAGGTAAAGATTATGTTCCTAATGATCCACTTGGGGCTCGGAGAGGTAAAATCATTAATCCAAGGATACACAGCTATGAAGTAGACGACGCTGAACTTGAACTCCTGTTGAGTGTCTACTATGAGTTAAGCTGTGGCTCAGGCAGTCCTTGAGAATAGTTCAGGGCTCAAACTCTAGCCTGATTTATACCTCACTGGTGGGAGATGTGACAGTATCTGGAGATAGTTTTGCTTTTCCGTTCTGGTGATGTTGGTGGGTAGTTTGTGTTAATCAACTGGTTAATCTCTGGGTAGAGACTAGAGATCCTGATAAACATCCTCCAATGCACATCACAGCCTCCCCACAACCAAGAATAATCTCGTCCCATGTATCAGTAGCACTGAGAGAAACTCTGTCCTGTGGAGAGCTCAGATCCAAAATTCAGAATTTTCCTGAGAGGTATTTGAGTGAAGACCTGAGAGTTATTCTTGATATTCCCTCTCCTTCCATATTAAATAAGTCATTGTGTTTTGGGCAATCTACCTGCCAAATATGTCTTGAATCTCTCCATTCTCTTCCATCCTTGGTTTAAGTTTCATCATTATTACAGTGGCCTCCTCACTAGTCTCTCTGTTTTTCTAGTGTTTCTTTCTCAAATCTATTCTGCACACTGCAACCAGAATACTGTCACCAAGAGATATGGGCTCCAATTCCTGAGTCTGCTGCAGCGTTATTAATTATCTGAAGGGAGGGTGATTCCATAAGCAAGGCATGGAGTGATCAAGCCCTCAAATGATATTCCCTTGGCTCGGAGTTAGAGATATTTGAAATCATCTCTGACACTTCTGATCTATTTGTAGCTGTTAGCTATTGCTGAGTAACAAATGACCCCGTAGTTAGTGGCTAAAACAACCACTATTTGTTTATTTCTTTTTTCTTTTTTTTTTTTGTGGGTATTTTTATTTTTATTTATTTATTTTTTTTTGTGTGTGTGTTAAATAAATATTTAATACTCAACAAATACATACATAGCACTTAATATATTCCAAGTGCTGTCATAAGTTTAGGTTGGGCTCTGCTCTGGTCAGTTTTTAGGTCTCCACTGGGCTGGTTCATGTGTTGGTGGTCAGCTGTGTGTCAGCTTTGCTAATCTTGACTGGGCTGCCTCATATATCTGCAGCTTATCTGGGATGATCTTTGTCTCTTTCACTTTGTCTTTTCCTTACTATCCTGAAGTTCATATGACAAAGGCAAGGGGCCCAAAGTATGAGTAGAAATAGGTTTTTTGAGGTCTATGTTTGGAAGTGCCACCATGATACTTCTGCTGTATTTATTGGCGAGTGCAAGTCATAGAGCCAGCTAGAGTGAAGGGCTGTGGAATCAAACCCCACACATTAGAGAGATGAGTGGCAATGTCACATTGTATGGCACAAACGTCAGACCAAGGTTGGACACAGGGAGGAGTAAAACATGACAGTCATTTCTACAATCTATGATCATTATGGTTTGAAACTATTTGTCACCTTTTGTGTGCATATAATTGGCCAGAATGTATTCTCATGACCATGCCTAACTTAAAATGAGGTTAGGGAGAAGGGGAAAGTCTGGGTATTGGGGAGAGTCAAGGGGAGTAGTGTCCCATCTTCACCACTTCTCCTTCTTTGACCTGGGTTTTAATTTCTACTCACCAGATGTGGATGAATGTGCCAATCCCAGAAGCTGCCCAGAGCATTCGACTTGCCACAACAGTCTTGGAAACTATTCTTGTGTCTGCAACACAGGATATGAATCCAGAAGTGGAAAGAAGAATTTCCTGGGACCAGGAGAGACATGTGAAGGTAAGTGACGGGCAAGTGAAGGTAAATGAAGAATCAAGTCCAATCTGTTTGCAAAGACAGCGGTGGTGGGGGAGAAGTTGAAGTGAGTCTCAGCTGAGTCCAAAGCCCTTGTCTGTAGAGCTGAAGCCTATAGTCACTCATTCATTCATGCATTCATTCTACAAATACTTCTTGAGCACCTACTATATGCCAAGCATTATTCTAGGGATGAAGGATACAGCAGTGAGTAACACAGGTAAAAATTACTTGTTCTCCTAGAACTTATCATGAAATGTGGGGAGAGGAAGGTAACAACAAATGCATGCAGGAAAATCTTGTGTGTCAGGGATAGTTCAAGGAAAGGTGAATAGGGTATACGGGAGGGTGACGTTGTAGTTTTAATAGAATGGTAGGGAGAGGTCATGCTGAGAAGTTGGTTTTTGATATAAGACCTGAGGGAGTGAGATGCTGCGTATCTGGGGAAGGGTGTTCCAGGAAGAGGAAACAGTAGGTGCAGTGGTCTGGAGGCAGGATCCCAGTCAAGACACTAAGCTCTTCCAAACATGTGTTCGTTCAGTCCTCCCAACAAACTGATGGTACAATGGTATTTTATACCCATCTTATAGATGAGGAAACAGCCTCCATTGTGATGAAATCACCAAGGCCAAATAGAAAGGAAATAAGAGAGTTAAGATTCACCTCTTCCCTGTGTGACTTCATACCCCAACCACCGTGCCTTGCTCCCTCTGAATCAGGTTGCAATCGCTAGCAACTCAGGGTGGGCTTGTGCAGGACAGATATCAATTTAATTCCCAAATTCTCAGTCTCTGAGACTCAAGACAGTTTGGAAAGCTGTCATGTAAAAATACCAGGGACAGACAGAACCTGGATATAAATAGCAGTTGTGCTTTTCATAAGATATGCGATTTCACACAGTTTTGAAGCCTCAGTTTTCTCCTCTGAAAAATGGAAATATTAGTTTGCAATTCATAGGGCTGCTTTGAGCTTTCATGAAGTGGATGCCTATAAAAGATTTTCCTCATTGCCTGCCACAAAAAAAGCGCAACACGTTTGCAGTGCATTTTTAATGTTAGGTAGTGAATACGTCTATAATATTTGCTTTGTCCCAGATTCCATTCTGTGTATTTAAAGATACTTATTGTTGTTCAGTCTCTAAGTCATGTCTGTCTCTTTGCGGACTGCAGCACGCCAGGCTTCCCTGTTTTTCACTATGTCCCGTAGTTTGCTCAAGCTCATGTCCATTGAGTTGGTGATGCTATCCAACCATCTTGTCCTCTGTCGCCTCCTTCTTCTGCCCTCAATCCTTCCCAGCATCAGGGTCTTTTCCGATTAGATGGCCTTTCACATCAGGTGGCCAAAGTATTGGAGCTTCAGTTTCAGCATTCAGCCCTTCCAATGAATATTGAGGGTTGATTTCCTTTAAGATTGACTGGTTTGATCTCATCATCTTCTTTGACCCTCTGAACAACTCAATTGGGTAGGTTCTATTATTGCTTTCATTTCAAAGATGAGGAAACAGAGACACAGAGAGATGAATTTTCTTATCCAGTGTATTAGCTCAGACTGCCATAATAAGGTACCCTGGACTGGGGGTGGGGGCTTCACCAACAGAGATTTATTATCTCACAGTTTTGGACGCTGGTGGTCCAAGATTAAGTATCAGTATGGTAGGGTTCTGGAGAGAGCTCGCTTCCTGCCTTATACACAGCTGCATTCTTGCTGTGTCCCCACATGGCAGAGAGAGAGCCAGCTCTTGTGTTTTGCCTCTTTTTTTTTCAAAAGTATAACAGGTATTTCTTTTTTACACATGGTTGCACTTATTTACTTGGCTGTGCTGTGTCTTAATTGCAGCACTCATGGTCTTCCTTGTGATTCATGGACCCTTTCATTGTGGCACACATGCTCTGTAGTTGTGGTGTGGGGGCTTAGCTGCTCCATGGCACATGGGATATTAACTCCCTGACCAGTCACTGGACCCGCATCCCCTGCATTGCAGGGTAGATTCTTATCCACTGGGCCATCAGGAAAGCCCCTCTTCCTCTTCTTTTTAGGGCATCCATCCCATCATAACAGTTCCACACTCAAGATCTCCTCTAAACCTAATTGTTTTCCACATCCAAATGCCATCCCACTGGGGGAGAGGAGGGCTTCAACTTAATGAATTTGGGGGAGACATAATTCACTCAATAACATCCAGTAAGACACAGATTATAAGGGTCAGAGCCAGGCTTTGAACTCATGACATCCATGCTCTCTACCCCTTCACTTGGATATAGTGATTCCTTGGAGAGGAATTGAAATTCGTTAACAAAAGAGGGGAGTGACAAATTTGAGGCTGAGGGAGCACAGGTGAGAGAGAATGAGCCTCACGGACCTACAGGTAATCGATGAATTTGAATCATGAATTATGAAGGCATTAGAAGTAAAATATGAGAGACTTCCCTGGCAGTCCAGTGGCTAAGATTTCTCCTTCCAGTGCAGTGGATACAGGTCTGACCCCTGGCTGGGGAGTTAAGATCCCACTTGCCTCACAGCCAAAATCCTGAAACATAAAACAGAAGCAATATTGTAACAAATTCAGTAAAAACTTTAAAATAATGTTGTTTGGTTGCTAAGTCATGTCTGATTCTTTTGCAACCCCATGGACTGTAGACTTCTCTATCCATGGGATTATCCAGGCAAGATAACGGGGTTGGTTTGCCATTTCCTTCTCCAGGGTATCTTCTGGACCAAAGGATCGAACTCATGTGTCCTGCTTTGGCAAGCAGATTCTTTTTCTTTTTTTTTTTAATTTTAATTTTTTTTCATTTATTTTTATTAGTTGGAGGATAATTACTTTACAATATTGTAGTGGTTTTTGCCATACATTGACTTGAATTAGCATGGATTTACA